TGGGCATGAAGAAAGAGATGTGGAAGCACATTGGCGGAAAATGACGCAATTAGGCGACGTTTTACATGTCTGAGGGGTCCCTGGTGATGCTATTTCATTAATGGAAGAGCAGAAGGTGATTGAAACAAGAGAGCTAGTTTAGTCTTTAAAACAAACATGGCTAGAACTTGATGCTAACATGTTTGTTAGATGTTAGAATTAAGTCAGAATTCTGAGAAAAAAGTCAGAATTCTGAGATTAAAGTCAGAATTCTGACTTTTTCCTCATATTATACTGAAATAAAATGAAAAAAAAAAATCAGTTAACTCTTTTAATTTTTTCAGTGGCCCTTATCCTCTTCCGTACTGTGTGCTATTGTGAGAAGAGAAAACAAAACTGGTTGTGTGGGAAAGGTGACTGCATGCACTCCTGTCAGTGTGAGCATGGTTTGTCAGTTTATCTCTGTTTATATTAAGTAAAGAAAAACTAGCCAGACAGGTACAGAGTCCACAGCCGGGAGGGGAGTGTGAACTTGTCTTGACTGGCTGTTTTGTTAAAGCAGACAAGATAAAGGACAGCACATCCAGCAAGATTGCATACAGCCTATGCAAACCCCTAATGACAACAAAGAATATCATGGTGGTTTAAAAGTCTGACCCCTTTAGGTCAAAAAAGGACAAGATTCCTAGAATCTCCTACTTATTGTATTAAGAGACACTTACATTGAAATCCTATATAAAAGCTTCTAAATAACAAGCAGATAATCTACAGTTTACACTGCTGTAATAGCCTTAATAGCCGACATCTGATAACAGCAGCAGCATAGCCAAAACATTTTTATAAGGGTGGCCAGCCAATAACCAATGTACACTGAGGGGTGGCCAAAAGTGGATCGGCACCAGAACCTCTGGGTAAATCTACACTGTTCCAACAGGAAAATGAATGAGTAAAACATCCAGATTTTCTAAATAAAGACAAACTATCCTTTCATACAGTCTTTCCAAACAAACAGAAGCATATATTTAAACATCTGTGCTTTCTAGATGAAAGGTATAGTGGATAAAAATGTTTCAGGTTTGAGTTCTGCCGCAAACATCTTGTCATTACTACCTCCTTTTTCCAATATTCATTCTGCATAAATTTATTAAGGTTGTATTAAAATAGTTATCTGTGATTCCAGTGAAGACTCCTAGATGACTTGCAGAAACGCATAATTTTCTCTTTACCCCATAACACAAAATCTATTTCTGAAAAAAGCATGAATTCTGTATTTATTATCTTTAATTTTAGTATATTGATGTGCATAATTAACCACAGTGTTTTTGTTGTCAAGTAATTGTTAATATATGAAGATTTTTAATATTTTGAATATTCCACTATTACTGCTGCCACTGTCTGTATTAGAGAGAAAAAAATGGTTAGGGGTGGCCATCCCTGGCCCCCCATCTAGCTCCGCCCCTGGATAACAGGATGCCAAAATGCATTTAACTCTCAAAACAACTAAAAAACCTAACACAGTATTTAAAAAGACAGACTGTTGTAGCTTATAATATAACAAACCTATTTATACAGGCTGGAATATGGAAATTCGTCACCACATCATTTGTATCCAGACAGAGGAGCCAAGACATTCCAGTCCATGTTAAGCAAGAGCGTTATGACTAATTTGCCTGTATTACGCCCATCTTTAACAACCAAAGCCAGTTTTTGCACGTAGGCTGCATGCAACAGGCGGGATTTGTTGGAGGAGCGACGCGCAAAACGCAGAAAGAAACAACAAAAACAAATGATCTTTGCAAAAATGCGTCAAAGCGAGTTTAAAAGGCTGCAACGTCACCAAGCGCCCCCCCTCTACCCCACACACCAACCCCATCCGGACGCTCACCTGTTATCAGTCCGGATCAAATGTCTTTTTTTCAAATCCAAGCCGATTGAAATACGCTTGCTTGGTATTTTCCGCCAAGGACTTCCTTATTTATCTGTAGGGCTGCGTAAAAGCTCTGCACTAAAGCGCAGGAGGGGAGGAAATAAAATGCAGTGGCAAGAAATGAAATAAAATAAAAATAAAAATAAAAATCAGGGCGAGTAGGAAAGGCGAAGCAGCTGCAGAGGAACAGACAGAAGCGGCAGCAGAAACATCAGCTGTAACTACATTTGCGCTCAGCAGATCACAGATTAGAGCCAGAGGGAGGGTTTTATCCAATGGGAGGAGTTGGATGACAGCAGAGGGGTTTGTTTATGAGGTATGATCAGGTCACGACACAATTGGGCAAACTGTAGAGGGATGACTCCGTTTCTATGATGGAAGAAATGAAAAACACAAATTAAAGGCCTTTTAAAAACAAGGCAATAATAATCACTTTATGAGTTTTTATGTGACTTTAAATAATTACTGAACATTTGTAACAATTTTCTTTCATTTTTCAATTAATTCAATTTTTCAGATTTTGGCTTCCTGATTGGAAACCCATAACAACCCATCAATATGTTCATTTTCACCCCCATTGATCATGTTATTGGTAGCAGAGGCGTAACCAGAACATTTCAATAGGGGTGGCCAATAAAAAAAAACAATGTACACTGAGGAGTGGCACCAGAACCTGAACTTCAGGGTCAATCTACATCTTCCAGACAGGAGGAGGAAAATTAACAAGCAAAACATCAATATTTTCTAAATAAAGACAAACTATACTTTCCTGAAGCCTTTGCTAAGAAATATATATATATATATATATATATATATATATATATATATATAACATATTTCTAACATATATATATAACATATTTCTAACATATTTCTAAACAGTGGAAAAAAATCATAATCTAAATAAGTAATTTTTTTCTTAAAATAAGTGCATTTGTTCTTGAATTGAGAAGATTAAAGACACATTTTGCCAATGGAACAAGACAATTTACATTCAAAATAAGAAAACGCAATTATATTGTCTTATTTCAAGTGCATTTTATCTAAATATCTTATTCTAAGAGTTAAAATACTCATTCCATTGGCAAATCATTTCATTTACCTACTCAAATTAAGGGTAAATACACTTAATTTAAGAAATTTTTGCTTATTTCTAGATTGTGTTTCCAGTGAACATCTGTGCTTCCTAGATAAAAGGTGTAGTGAAAACATCTTTTCAATTCTCATTACTTACCTACTTTTATCAACAATCATTCTGGATAAAATTGATATTTACAAGTACTAATATCTACATAAATTGATTATTTGATACGTTTTTTTTAATTAAAATTAGATTAAAGATTAAAAAGGTTAAAATAGTTTATCTATGATTTCACGGAAGACTCCTAGATGAGTTGCAGAGACATCATTTATTCTTTTCCCCATGAAACACAAAATTTGGTTATGGGAAGAGCATGACTTCTGTACTTATCATCTTTAATGTTAGTATTTTAATGTGCATAATCTATCACAATGTTTTTGTTGTCAAGTAATTGTTAGTACATGAAGAATTATTATTTTTTTTTAATGTTTTGAATATTCCACTTGAGAGTATTACTGCTGCCACCGTCTGTATTAGAGGGAAAAAATGGTAGGGGTGGACAATGATTGGCTAAGGGTGGCCATGGCCACCCCTGGCCCCCCATCTAGCTCCGCCCCTGGGTCCCTCTACACTGTTCCAACAGGAACAAGCAAAACATCCATATTTTCTAAATAAAGACAAACAGAACTTTCCTACAGCCTTTTGATTACAAATAGATGCATATATTTAAACATCCATGCTGTCTAAATAAAAGGTATAGTGGACAAAATGTCTTTTCCATTGTCATTACTTACCTACTTTTATCAAGAATTGTTCGGCATAACATGTACTAATATCTACATTAAATGGATTTTTAAGTTTTTATTAAAGTAGTTATTTATCTATGATTTCACTGAAAACTAATTTTGTCTTTACCCCATATAACAAAAAATTAGGGTCTTAAAAGAGCATAATTTTTTTATATATCAACTTAAAGTTAGTATTTTTTCATGTGCATAACTAACCACAGCTTTTTAGTTGTCAATTAACTATTAATATATGAAAAATTAAAATGTTTAATAAGTTTAAACATTCCTCTTGATAATTATACTGCTGCCACCGTCTGTATTAGAGGGCGAAAAATATGGTAGGGGTGGCCAATTATTGGCTAAGGGTGGCCAAGGCCACCTCTGGCCCCCCATCTAGCTCCGCCCCTGATCAGTTGCTAATATATAACGCTGCAGCTAATGATTATTTTGCAAATAGATTAATCTGTCAATTATTTTTTTTCGATTAATCGATTAATAATCGGATAGACAAAGGTTCCATAAAGAAGACTTTTTACAAATTTAAACCAGGTGAAACTTAAACGTTTAAACTTGAGTATTACTGGATAGAGCATGTTTAGTGCTTTTTAAATCTTTGGATGCAAAATGCGTATATATATATATTTTATCATTTTGATATAATTACTGCTCTAAGTTGCTCTGTGAGCTAAAGGCATGTTTTACAGTCTCTATACTCCAGTTAACCATTAATTACTAAATTAGTTGAGGATTATTTCAATAATCCCACTAATTGTTTCAGCCTTACTAATATATTTCAAATTATCCAAATTTCAGCTGTGTATTATTTGCTTTAGCAGGCCTATTGTGTTTTTATCCCCATATTTGAACCAAACTGACATGAAATGTGTTTTGATCTAACATTGACTGTCATTATAATGCTACATGAAAACATATTGCTGATTTAAATGTAAAGATTTACATCTAAATCAGAAAATTAAAAGCATAAATATTTTATTTGTGTTAAAAGCACAAATATTCTGAACGGGATGGCAGATTTAGCCAGAAAGTAGCTGTTTTACAGCAGCGGAGACATCCCATTTCAAACCAGCATAAGAAATGTCAGTTTAAGCAATTGTTTTTCATTTTTCGTCATGAACATGACCGGCATGAACCCTTTTCATGTTTCAAAATAAATTACTTCTTAACTTTTGATTGATTTCATTGTTTTATTTAATGCTTGCTTACTGATATGCTGTAAATCCCTCCTTTTCACAATTAGTTTCTGAAAAATCTATACCAGTTTTTCAGTAGTGATGATAGTAGCTTAAACAACATCTAAACATACTGCCATAAGAGCATTAACTCATTCAACTTTGCATAAAATTAATATTTGTTGGCAATCTGTGCATTTGTGTTTCTAATATCAAGAGGGCACAAAAATGTTTAATTTGATCATAAATAATGTGGGTATTCACCACATCTACCGACTATTGATGCATTTAGTGGACAAGCTTGCAACTTTTTTTGTTCTTTCTGTATTTGGTTTTCAGTAGATCATTTCATCTCTGCATAAAACTTACCTTAACCAGATAAAAAAATCTAAACCCCAAAAAATTATATACTTCTTTCACAAGGTCAACTTTTAAAGTTAAATTTTAATGCTTAATGTCACTTTTTTTTTTCCAGATCAATAGCAGCGCTTCCAGCTTTTCTCATATTACCAAACTGCCCTTTTCCGCATAAAAAAAAAAAAAAAATCTTGCCTCCAGATCTAAAACAGGAAATTAAACTTTCTTATCCAACAATTTTTCTTTTCTGTGTGTTGCAGGGCCAGTCAGACCTTACTGGGGTCTCTGCTCTTCCATTTAAGAGGCTGGCCACCTGTTCAGCGTCTTCCCCAATTAAGATCTTTTTACATAAAATAACAGCCTGTAAACAACTAAAACATATACTTCTTATTAAGCCCACAAATCTGTATGAATTAGTTGAAGTTTCCATATTTTTGATGTTATGTAATCATAAATGGTCTGTTGTTTATTAACTATGAGCAGAAAATTAAATAAAAATAGTCAGTTCAACAATTTTCCAATTTAATGAATATGAATGTAGGTTGAGTGATTAAGCTACACTTTTTAAAAATTATTATAATGGTAAATCTGTGACTGATATAAACTTTCATAAATCCTTTCAAATAGTCAAGGAAGCAGAATACTATTTATCCAAATTTGCTAAATCTTATGCGATTCAAGTCCAGCTCTACAGTCTATGTACCACCGACATTAAAGGTACTTTAACGCCCCCTGCTGGGTAATCCCAGGATTACAACTACAGAAAAAACTTATGAAGGCATGCAATTATGGCAAGAATACAGCAGCAGTTTGATGAATATTAAAGCATAATTTATATTAAAATAAATAAAAAACACAAACTCCAATATTTGATCAACATGAGCAGGCAATGCCGAAAATTGAGGTACTATCAAAAATGTTCATTTTTTTCGCTGTTAAGAAAAAACAAAAACAGGAAAAAGTACATAATAATGAAGACAGCAGTTTGGCAAATGTAAAAATTGTTGGTCACATAAATGTAGTGTGTTAAAAAAAAGAAAAAAGGCATGTTCTTCCAAGGTGCATCACTTAATTTCCAATGAAATACATGAAAAAAAAAAATCCTACTAGAGACTGGACTCATCTAAAACAATATAAAACATTCCTGTCTTTTGTTCTACTTATGTGAAAGGATCCAAACAGAATGTCAGTTCTGAGAAAAAAAGTGCAGTTTAAATAAATTAAATTCACATTTAAAACAACAAAAGGCCAAACGAAGGCATATATTAAAAGTAACCTGAATTAGCAACAATTGACAAGGCAATTCTTGGTACACGTCCTATAAAGGCAGCCTGCTGCTACCACTGTTCCACATTTCCTATGTAGTCCTCCATGGTGCTATTCTCATCAACATCCCACCAGTCTGGGAGAAGCACTTCTGACTCCATGCTGTCCTCCGCTGCCATCTCCCTCCGACGATCCTGTGTTTCGGCGCTGGTCGAAGGCGTCGCTTCAGTTGGCTTCAACCGCCTCTCTTGTTTTGATGAAAAGCGTCCACGGAGCCGCCTCCTCTCCTGTTGTCGCCGCTCCCTGGCCTCCCTGCGCTCCTGCTGTCTCACCACCTGGAAACGCTGCAGGAAAAGGTCACGGGCATAGTCATACAGCTCCATGTCCCATCGGTTCAGCTGGCGAATTCTTTGCTGCGTCTCAGGCGGCACCTCGACACTGGAAGCACGCGTCCCG